AAGTTCGTCCTACCCTTCACTCAATATACCCTGGATTCTACGTCGTCCGGCCAATCCCGTCCAAGGTCAGCGGGGGCTCGGTTGCGGTTATGGAACGTGATTGGCCGGACGGCGTAGAATCTTCGCCGTCCGAGAGACATCGAACGCGGGGAGAGTTTACGTTCCACCTGGCCATTGTACACAACAGATATCAGTTCGGGTTCCATAACACTACATTTTGGCGACTAAGCACGAGATAAGTGCGGACTCTAGTGGAATCGCGTGTCGCGAATTTCCGTGTACCTACCTAACTTTTTTTGGTATATGTCAAGTTTACGTCCTAAGCACATATCAATGATAATTGTTTCACATTCCTACGTATTTTGACGTGCTGAATCCAAAAATCATACTTACATGTCTCGCAACAACAAAATTATCACCAATACACTAAGCAATTACATCTTCCGACAACACACGATCAAAACAAATCGAGAGGAAGTTGAAAGTGTCCAGCGTTGCCATTTGTGAAAATATTTTGTCTTTTTTTAATGTCGAGAAATAAAAACATTCAATATATTATAAAAATAAATAGGAAATATGTAAAAAATATTTATTTAAAAAGAAACATTATTATTAGAAATAGAATAGCAAAACAACAAAGGGGAAATGTTGGGAACCGGGGTTATTGGGTGGGGGGGGGGGAGGAAAGGAAAATCCTGAGAACTGGGGGGCGATACTTGTGCAAAGTTGCATATTTACGTCTGGACAACGAGTTGCGGGGAAAAGTGCTGATTGTGTTGCAGTTTTAGGAGCCGGTGATTAGGCTGGATTTTTGGGTTACTTTTTCGTTCCGATTCATGTATTTCATAGTGTTTGGCTTTTGAATATTTTAGTTCTTTTAGATAAATATTACTTGCCTTACAACTTTTGTAAAAACGTTTCATTTTTTATAAGCCGACGTTCAGAGTCCTAAAAATACATCAGCACTACAATCATTGTAAACAAACAAATGGAGCACCACTTGGCTCTGTTCCAAGGCCATTTTTTAGTTTATCTGGTGGTTTTCTTGCTCTTGTACGTCGTTTTGTTGGATGTTTTGAATCCCTTAAGATTGACTTATATCATATTTAAGAAGCATGTTGACTGAAAACAATCTTAAGTATCCAGGAGGCTGACAGAGGTCCTGACTACTGAGCAATATCAATATCAAGTTGAACAAGTCAAGAAATTTTGGTTGATAAACGCAAGTTGATCGGGCTCATATATCAGCAAGAAAAAGTAAAATTGAAAGAGCTTATTGTCCAAAAACAAGCTATAATATTGCAGACCTTGGAGCAATACTGAAGAGCACGCTGAGCAGGATCATGCCAGAAAATGTTGACTGATGAGCGCATATTGATGTATTGGTATGAATATTGAATTATAACTTACAACAGCAAGATAAATTAGTGCTAACTATCAAGTTAAAATCTAGAATGAATGGACTTGGGCAGTTTTACTATGCTTAGATGCTATGCAGAAATGTGCATCAGGTACTCAATGTCTGGCAAATGAAACATGCGATCATTCCATTGCTACTGGAGGAGAAAGCTTGGATCACTAAATCCACTTTATGTTGATTATGATGTTAATCATCATCACTGTATTTCTGGAAAAAAGGATTGTAGTAAAATTGTCAATGTGACAATCCATGCAACGATGTGATCATATGTGTTCATAGTCATTCGTGATAGTCATTATTGGTCCAATATACAATGGCAAAGCTCTCAGTCTCAGCGTTTCTTCCTGTGGATGGCCAGCAGTGACTCAGAGCTTAGAAGTATTAGTTTTCTTCACAGGGCTGGGATAAAAAGTACTGAGGGTAATCTTCCACCAAGGAACTCTACTTCGACATGGTATGAGATGTAGGCACAAGTAGTTAGGTGCTCAGTTCCTATAGTCAGTACTCATTAGTTGTGTATGTTTAGTCGGGTTAGCTAAGATCAGATTGTTAGTTTTTTAATTTGCCAAATGTCCATAAAAATGTGACTGAGCAATGAGCATACCTTAAAGGAAAAGGGCCACCTTTAACATGGGGATTGAAACTGAGATAGCCATCTTGTAGCCCGTGTCCGAAAACCCATCTGTCTACCTCCTTACGGCCGACTTCGGCCTCCATTCGTAGTTATCGGCAATTTCAAAAGAAAATACGCCAGGAATGCGTCCTTATCCCAGGAATGCGTTCTTATCCGACAATACAGCCACCCGCGGCGAGGCTTTGGTTTTTTACCAATCAGCTCCAACCAGCTCAGCTTTAACCAATCAGCTTATCTGACACAATCCGACGAGTCTGTCTGCTGAACGCTGATTGGCTTGAGTGTGACGTCATCGCTATGCCATCATACAGTAGGTGCCGTAGAGAGTATCAACATAGTACCAATATGTTAAATAGTTTTAAATACTTTTTCGCGAATTGTGCATTTCTGGCACCAGTTTTAAAAAGAAAATGAAAAATAATAATGTCAAAATGAAAAACAACGATATCTTCATATTTCACGAAGGTGGCCCTTTTCCTTTAACCTGACTATCCTGACAGCTGACCTAACCTCAATCATCACACATATTTGCAGCCTACCCAAGACCTGCATGGCAGTAGCACCCAGTTATAGGTAGGTACTCACCCTAACTCAATCTTACCTGCTAACCTTCAACTTGCCAAAAGTTAGCTCACATTGCCAAGCTGTGTCCAGGGAAACAGTCAACTGAGGAACTGGCTCATTGGGTGGCTGGTGTGAGTCTGTGCATTTAAAGTGTTTCTTCTCTGAAGATGCTCTGCACTGCTGTGTCATGTTAGATGCTCAGAAAATGTGGGAAATGATTACTAAGCTACTTTAGTGCTTTGTTAATGCTCGAGACATGAACAAGTAGATCCTGCAGGGTACAGCTATGAGTTAGGTGCTAGGTGAGTTTGTTATGTGAATGTGCTGTTCCCTGTTTGACCGTAAGTATACAAACAAGCACAGGGTCACAGTTATATTCAATCTCCACATAAACATACAACAAAAACGGCCATATAGCCTAACTCCGAACACACCACAGGTAACTTAAGCCTTTGAAGGCACAAAAATGTTTTGATTAACAGGACAGGTTTACAATATATCCTCCGTCCTTGGGGGATCTTGCTGCCAAGTTGAGGTATGATGACTGAACTTCAGGATTGATCAACCTTTTCTTAGCCACTGCTTATATACGAGAAAGACCAAATGCTTGTTTGTTTTGATTTACAGGACATGTATACAATATATCCTCTGTCCTTGGGGGATCTTGCTGCGAAGTTGAGGTACGATGACTGAACTTCAGGATTGATCAACCTTTTCTTAGCCACTGCTTATAAACGAGAAAGACCAAATGCTTGTTTGTAAACTGCGTTGAAAATTTAATGATCCACCTTCAATTCTGACATGAAGGCACAAATGAAATAGTTCCTTTTTTTAGTTCCTTTTGGAATACACAAAGCAAAATATTTAATAAATTTTAGTGGATGGACAAGAGCAATTAGCATAGCTTTCCCTCAAGTTAACTTCTGGCACTGTTGAGTGTTGATGAATTACACAGTGTGAATTACACTGACGCTTATTCGCTTCATATTTTGTGACAAACGCGCTAAAACTGCAATATCACAGCACTATATGCTTCTTGACAAAATGCAATTATATTGAAAATTTAGCCCTGATGGCATTCATTCTTGGTGGAAACGTAATTACAAAATATTTTGTAGTAACTATTAAATTCCGGCCGAAAACAGTGCACGGTTTAAGAAAGAATCATTCCAATGACGGTCCATTCTTGTGGTCCTGAAATCGCCACTATTTCCGGCCTCTCCAACGCAACTCGTTGTCCAGACGTAAATATGCTGCAAAGTTGGCTAAAATCAAGAATGATATGTAACAGTCGCTATTCAACTGTGAATAATGACGTCATAATATTTCTCGCGGCGAAGCAGCGCAGTGCCGAAGGCAATGCCTTAGGAGAGATTACAGGCAAGAGTAAATAAAATATTTTTAGGTTAAGTGGTTATGTATCTGGCTTCAGGCCGAAGGCCTGAAGCCTGATGCATGACCACTTAACCTAAAAATATTTGATTTACTCTTGCCTGCAATCTATTCCTGCAAGCAACTTTTTCCTTATCCCCGGTAGGCAAAAATCAGTAGGTTAGTTTAGGTTAGGTTAGGTTAGGTTCGGTTAGGTTAGGTTAGGTTAGGTTAGGTTAGGTTAGGTTAGGTTAGGTTAGGTTAGGTTAGGTTAGGTTAGTTTAGGTTAGGGGTTAGGTTAGGTAACAACTAGATTTGAGGCAAGAACCCCGATTCCTAAAATTTCCCAAATGTAACCATTCTTATCGTATTTTTCTCCATCCCCCTCCCCACAAACCCCGGTTCCCGACATTTCCCTATGACGTCATTTTCATTTTTTCTCTCCCCCACCCATGAACCCCTGTTTTTCTCACAGTGTATATAAATAAAGGGTTTATAATATGTATATAATAAAGGGTTTATAATAAAGGGTTTTTTCAGTGTATATAATAAAGGATTTTTCTAACCCTCCCCACCCAATAACCCCGGTTCCCAACATTTCCCCTTTGTTGTTTTGCTATTTAATTTCTTATATTTTTAATATAAATATTTTTTTACATATTACTTTTTTATTTTTATCATATATTGATTGTTTTTATTTCTCGACAGGAAATATTTTTCATCAATGGCAACGCTGCATACTTTCGATTTCCTCTTGACATGTTTTGATCGTGCGGTGTCCGAAGGTGTAATTGCTTAGGGTATTGGTGATGATTTTGTTCTTGCGAGACATGTAAGTATGATTTTTGGATTCAGCAAGTCAAAATATGTAAGATTATGAAAGAAATATCATTGAAATGTGCTTAGGACGTAAACTTGACATTTACCCTTTTTTGTGTTTCGGCCCGCGGTACGGCCATGAGCGGCGACAGTGGACCGCCCCTACCCGCGCCGTTTTTGCCCCATCCCGGGATGCCGGCCGTCCCGTGGAGGAACTGGGAACAGAAATTCGAACTTTATCTGTTGGCCAGGTGCGGCACGAGCCCCCTGCCCCCCGAGCAGCGGCGCGCTCTGCTTCTGTGCGCGATCGGTGACGAGGCGTACCGGGTGTTCGACACCCTGCCGCCGGTTGCGAAACGTGACGGCGAGGACGACTACGACGTCACCCTCCGCCAGCTCCGGGAGTTCTACACTCCCAGGACCAACGTCATCGTGGAACGATTCCGGTTCCGACAGCGAGCCCAGGCCCCCACAGAGTCCACAGCAGACTTCGTTGCTGCTCTGCGCGGCCTGGCTCGCACCTGCCAGTTCGGCCCCATGGAGTCGGAACTCATCCGGGACGTGGTGGTGGAGAAGACCCCCCACCAGCGCCTGAGGGAGCGACTCCTTCAGGACAGGGACCTCACTCTGGACAAGGTCCTGAGCGTCGCAGGGACATACGAGGACTCCCTGCGGGAGGCTGCAGCCATCTCCCAACCAGTTGCAGCCCCACCCGTCTCATCCGTGGCAAAAGTTACGAGGAAGCCACAACAGAAGCGACAGCAGCAGCAGCAGCAGAGCGTCAGCAGCGACTTCTGCACCAACTGTGGACGTGAGGACCACGCACCCAGGGATGCTGCCTGTCCAGCCCGCAGAGTGACCTGCCACTCCCGCGGAAAGAAGGGCCACTTCGCCAGCTGGTGCAGAGGCGGCAGTGGAACAACCCCAGCAAGGCCAGCTCAACGACAGCACCACAAGGCAGTGAAGGAGCTGAACGTGCTCTCCTGTGCTGCCACCACTGGGTCACGCCTCACCTGTACCGTCCAGGTGACTGCAGGTGACGTCACACAGGAGGTACCCCTCCAGGTGGACACGGGTGCCACCTGCTCACTCCTGAGTGTGAACCATGCCAAGGAGCTGTTCAGAGGCGTGGCGTTCAGCCCCTCCAGCTCACGGCTCTACGGATTCGGCCAGCAGCCACTCTCAGTCCTGGGAACGCTGCCTACCACGGTGACCTACAACAATCAGGCTGTGCCAACAAACTTCTACCTGGTGGACACCAAGAAGACGGAGGCCATCATGGGTATGGACCTGCTGCAGGCCCTGGGAGTCACCCTCCACCCAGCCTCGCACAGCGTCTACACGGTGGCAGGCTCAGCCCCGTCAGAGCTACCTGCCATCGAGGGCTACGTGCACCGCATCAAGCTGAAGCCGGACGCAGTACCAACTGCCTACAAGCTGCGCCGGCTGCCCCTCTCCGTGCGAGGGGAGGTCTCAGCAGAGCTGAACAGTCTGTTGGAAGCAGGCATCATCGAGAGGATCGACTCCTCTCAGTGGATCAGCCCGCTGACCGTCTCAAGGAAGAAGGACGGCAGGATCAGGGTCTGTGTAGACCTGCGTGGGCCGAACAGCCAAATCGTGCCAGAGGTCCACCCACTGCCCACAATCGACGAGCTGGAGTCCAAGCTCTGTGGCACCCTCTACAGCAGGATCGACTTGAAGTCGGCCTACCACCAGCTGCGTCTGCACGAGGACTCGCGTGACATCACCGCCTTCCTCACGCCAGACGGCCTGATGCGCTACACCAGGGTCCCGTTCGGCCTGGTGTCTAGCGGCAGCGCGTTCCAGAAGCTGCTCAGTCATCTACTGCAGGGTATCGACGGCTATGGACACTATCTGGATGACATCCTGGTCACTGGCCGTGATCAGTCCGAGCACGACAGGCGCCTCCGCACCGTGCTGGACCGCCTCAAGCAGGCAAATGTCACCATCAACACAGAGAAGTCCTCCTTCAGCCAGCCAGAGGTGGAGTTCTGCGGTCATCAGCTCTCCAGGCACGGAGTGGTACCTCTCCTTCTACCACCAAGGCCGTGGCCGAGGCCCCGCCTCCCACCAACGTAAAGGAGCTGCGCAGTCTCCTGGGCTCAACCGGCTGGTTCAGCAGGTTCGTGCCTCAGTACTCCGCTGTGGTGAGACCCCTCGCCATCATGCTGAAGAAGGAAGCCACGTTCCAGTGGACCAAGGAGGCCAACGACGCCTTCAACGAGGTGAAACGGCTCATCTCAACCAGGCCGGTGATGAAGCCCTTCAGCGCCCGCCTCCGGACGATCGTGACGACCGACGCCAGCGACCGCGGCGCCGGTGCCATGCTCACTCAGATCCAGCCGGACGGCGAGGAGCGGCCGGTGGCGTACTGGTCCCGCTCCTTCACCGACGCCGAGTCGCGGTACTCCGTCTCCGAGAAGGAAGCCCTCAGCGCGGTCAATGCTGTCGAGCATTGGCGGACGTACCTGTGGGGCCGTTCATTCACCCTGCGGACGGACCACTCTGCGCTCACCACTCTGCTCACGCCGAAGACGTCCAACCGCGCCGGCACGCGCATCGCCAGGTGGCAGTCCCGCCTGCTGCCGTACTCGTACACAGTGGAGTACCGGCCCGGGCGCAGCATCCCAGTGGCTGACGCCCTGTCGCGCCTGCCGCTGCCGGACACCGGCGCCGCCGAGACGGACGGCGACGAGATCGTCGCCCTGCTCACCGATGACGTCAGTGACGTCATCACTGATGACGACGTATGTGCCGCGTCGGCCGCCGATCCAGTCATGGAGCAGCTGCGGTCTGTCATCCGCACCGGCTGGCCCGACGCCGCGCGCCAGTGCACGCCGGAGACGCGCGACTACTTCGCCGTGCGGCACGAGCTGCAAGTCCGCCAGGACGGAGTCGTGCTGCGCGGCCCGGACCGCGCCGTCGTCCCGGCCGCGCTCCGCTCAAAGTACCTCCAACTGGCGCACCGAGCGCACGATGGTGTCGTGCGAACAAAGCAGCTCCTGCGCGACCTCGCCTGGTGGCCTGGAATGTCGAAGGACGCCGCTGCACTGGTCGCCGACTGCCCGTCCTGCCACGCAAAGGACGCCGTGCTGACGCAGCAGGCGCGCCCCGCGCCGCTGCAACCGGTCGAGCTTCCAGACCGGCTCTGGTCTAAGCTCGGACTGGACATCGTGGGCCCGATCCCCGGCGCCCCACCGTCTGCAAAGTACGCCATTACTATGACGGATTACCATAGTAAGTGGCCAGAGGTCGCTCTGACGTCATCCATCGAGACTGATGACGTCATCCAGTTCCTGAGCCAGGCCTGGTCCAGAGAGGGACTGTGTGACGAGCTGGTGACCGACAACGGACCCCAGTTCACCAGCGACAGGTTCCGACAGTATCTGGCCCAGCGCGGTATCAGACACCACACGTCTGCCGTCTACTGGCCGCGCGGAAACGGAGCAGTGGAGCGGCTCAACCGAGAGGTGAAGGTGTGGCTCAAGGAGGCCACACAGCTGCAGTCGCGGACGGCCGCCAGCTTCAGCGGACACGTGCGACAGCGCCTCGCTCTGTACCGAGCGACCCCGCACTGCACCACCGGCCAGTCACCCTCGGCGCTCCTGCACGGCCGGCGCATGCGTCTGCACCTGCCGGTCACCACAGAGACTCCGCCGCGCGACAGCTCGCTACAGCACCGAGTCGCTACCCAGCAGCAGCGCAACAGCCGCGGGTACGACTCCCGACAGGCCACCCGGCCGTCAGATCTCCAGCCTGGCGACACGGTGCGCGTGCGGCGACAGGGGCACGTGCCCAAGAACCAGAGTCGGTTCTCCAGCCCGCGCCGAATCGCCAGACAGCTCGGCCCGGCGACCTTCATCCTGTCCGACGGGACAAAGAGGAACGCTGCACACCTCGCCCGCATCCCAGACGCGGCGCCGACCGGCTCAGCACCTCCGAGCACCGACGGGCCGGAACCGCCGCCGCCGCCGCCGCCGGCCGACCCGGCTCCTCCGAGCTCCGGCGAGCCCCAGCCGCCATCGCCGCAGCCGACAGCGTCCACCGCGCCACCTACAGCGCCGACAGAGAGAGCCCGCCCGTCAGATGTCGCTGACGTCGCGCTGCCGGCCGCCACCGGCGCTGCTCGTGACCGGTCCCCCGGTGGGCCGCGCCCGCCTCAGAGGGCGCCCGTCGGCGGCACCCCGCGCCGTGAGTTGCCGGCCTCCTCCCGAGGACGCCGCCGATTCTTGCCGCGCCGATTTACGTGATCGGCGGGAAGTGTAACTTAACCCGCGCGGGGCTGGGGGGGGTAAATTTTACCCCCCCTCGCGAATTTTTGCGATATCTCAAAAACGGCGGCGCGCAGCGCCGCCAAACTTTCAGTACCTTTTCTTACATCAATTTGACACCTTCCCTGAAAATTTGAGCGAAATCCGTCGGAAAATTTTTGAGAAATTGACGTTTTAGTGACGTCATGTTCGCCATTTTCGCCTCAAAAACGGCAAAAGTTCAAACGCCGCTAACATCTTCATTTTTAAAGGAATCAAGACGTAACAAAAAAGGTTATACGTAATTTTACTTTGTCTATCAAATGGCTATCTCGGTTTTTTGAAAATTTTGGATTTTGGCCTAAATTTTTTCAAAAAACTGATTTTTTTGGGAAAATCATTATAAAATCCAAAATTTTGAGTCTATCGAAAAAACCGGAATATATGTCAGAGAAGTGGTCTATGTGCACCTACGTACAAAATTCTAGAAGAATCGGTTCAAAAATGTGGGAGTTATTCAAAATTTTATGACGTCACGACACACAACATTTTTGAAAAATGACTTGTTTGGAAGTTCTAGACCTCGTACGGAAACAAAAATAGCACCATTCGATTCGCCGTGAAAAACTGCATCAGATAAACACCTTTTTAGGCCTTAACAACCAACTTCAAAATTTGACCTCACTTGACCTGACCTTGACCTGACCTCGACCTGAAATTCATCCAGAGGTGGTCCATATCACTTATTGAGTGTGCCTATTGAATTCTATTAGTAAAATGACCCATAAAACATGTGTCGCACATGCCCTTTTCTATATTTTGTTTTTTGGTGACCTGACCTGACCTGACCTGACCTTGACCTTGACCTCTGAATGATATTGTATGCAACTAATATTGTCTTGGTAGCCTAAGAACACGTTTTGGGCGATCAGTCTCAGTCCATGACTCCATTCTTCGGCAACTACGGTGCAAGGCCGATACTGTAGAAACTTGCAATTTGTACCCTTGACCTGACCTTGACCTTGACCTCAAACTTTAAATTAAGTACATGTTTTTAGTAGTTCGTGATGAGAGCTTTCGATTGGCGTTTGAATTTTCCAAATCGGACCATTAGTTCGGGAGATAACAGGGGGGGTAAAATTTACCCCCCCCCCCCAGCCCCGCGCGTTCGGCTGGAGACCCCAGCCCCGCGCGGGTTAAAGGGCCGGCGGGTGTAGTGTTCGCTATGGCAGTTGTTTAGCGCTTTTCACACGACCTCACGTGACTCCGCCATTTTGTGTGAAATAGAGTTTACGTTCCACCTGGCCATTGTATACAACAGATATCAGTTCGGGTTCCATAACACTACACAGCCGAAGTCCAGCCGACGTCGAGCCGACGTCGGGCCGAGGTCGTTTGCCGAGGTTGACGAGATCGTTTGTCGTTGGACCGACGGGGCCGACGTCGGCATGTTTATTGGGACAACGCGCCAAAAATATCAACCGGCGGCGGGATTCGAGCCCCCCAGTCGCCGACGTCGGCATGTTTACCATGGGACAACACGCCAAAAGCATCAGCCGGCGATGGGATTCGAACCCCGTGTCATTTGAACGCGAGGTTAGTGCGCTAACCACTACACCACGCAGCCAGATACCGAATTTAGTTTGTTTTGTTAGGTTATGCCCTTTCGGTCTGACAGGACCATTTCAGAGCCGGAAGGATGATAGGATGGAGACATTGGTCTTCTTGGCGAGCACCCTGGGTCCAGTTCATATAGAGTCCCTGGTCCCATTGCTGTTACGTGACACTTATTGGAAAGGGCGACCCCACAATGGATTCATATAGCCACTCTTACACACCTGCACCAACGTTTCCCAAAGTGTCCCTTTGATAAGTGGCACTTTGGCAAAGTGACACTTGCCGACTGGCCATTCTATATGAACTGGGCCCGGCCCTGGTGAGTTGCCGGGGCTGAGCGTGACCAAAGGATAGGCCGAGCAGCCCCCAAGCACTCACCGCACCCGGCTACGGATGAGCTCGGCTGACGGCTTACGGGCAATCCCAAATGGGATAAAGTTTCCCGTCCAGTCCGGATCAGGGGGTTGCGGCGTGGAGGAAGATTTGAGTTTCCTGAGGATATTTTGAATACAGAAGCTCTTTATGAAACATGAAACATGCATTTTATATTATTTTAACGGTCAAAACAGCGGCCGATGTCGGTCCGACGTCGCCCCGACGTCGGCCCGACGTCGGCCCGACGTCGGCTGGACCTCAGCAATTGATCTCGGTCCGACGTCGGCCCGACGTCGGCTGGACCTCTTCTGGACGTCGGTACATGCGGGCATATCCGACATCCAGCCGACGTCGTGCCGAGGTTGGACCGACGTCGGGCCGACGTCGGCATGCCGATGCCGAGTTGCCGACGTCACCCCGACGTCGGCCGACGTCGGGCCGACGTCGGCATGTTTACTGGGGATGACCTCGGATTTTTTTTTAATATGGTACTTCCTCTAGATGAGACAAACACACCGGTGGGCGAATTTTTCAAATCGGACCATAAACAAAGAATCTAGATTCTAGAGGGTACACAGTGTTTTGACCTCTCAAGGTCAAACGGTTTGACATTGGAAAAAAGTCACCATTTTCGAACTCAGCGTGCCATGGGCAAGTATACCAATTTTGAGCGAAATCATTACTTGAATTTTAATCCGAATAGTTTCGTTTAGTGACCTTGACCTTGACCTATTACCTTGACTCCGGATTTTTTATTGTGCTTCTGCTTCTCGATGAGACAAACATACTGGTTGGCGAATTTTTCAAATCGGACCGTAAACAAAGATTCTACAGGGTACACAGTGTTTTTACCTCTCACGGTCAAACAGTTTGACCTAGGAAAAAAGGTCACCATACGGGCGAGGGAAAAGCGCAACCAAAAAGGCAAAAATATGCACATGCGATAACCTATACTGCGAAAAAAGTGCATCATTTTTTAACGTCGCCGACAAATTGTAATTACCCCAAGCTCAGGCAGGTGTATGGTAGAAAATACCCCAACTGAAATACACTACGGCGGAAATAAAATACCCTACGGCGGAGCTCGGTTGCAATTTGTAAATACGCTTCGAACTCAGCGTGCCGCATGTTTTTTAATCCCACCCAGAAATGACAAACAAGCTCCCTGATTGGCCAGTTGCCGGCCAGTTGGACTTGAGCAGTCGCCATGGTGGTATCGGGGACTCGGCTGGCATCGTTAGGTGTTGAATTATGTGTTTCGTTGTGCTAGATATTGCCAATTCGCTTTGATATTTGATAAATAACGTTGGCTCATTCTTTGGTGACCTTGCATACTAATACGACGATATTTTGATACCGATTATTATGCATCAAACATCATGAGACAAATGTGGCGATTTCCACACCCTTTTGCAGTGCCCCCTCCCCTTGTGTAGTGAGTTAACAGGCTTGTAAGAACCAAGTGAACCATTTTTTAGTCAAGTGGTCATGATCGTCCCTACATCTAATGGATAATAGTCTTGCGCAAACTTATAAAGTACTGGAGGAAGAAGAAGTTACGATTTTAGAGTACGCAAACTTGATATTAAAAAATCTCAGGTATTTTGGCTATATAAAGTGAGAAGAAAAGTTCAATTGATCATTATTTATTACAATTGCAATAATGATAATATCATGATAATTGTACTGTCAGGTAATGATAATAGTCATGTCACGTCATGCCACTAACCAGGCACACAGACACAACACATTTTCATCTTTATGTATCTAGGCATAAGGTATTACAGGCATGTTTTTGCACACCTCTCATGTGCGAGTGGGCATGGCCTCCTTCATAAGCGTAGGAACCATGGGTGCAAGGGTGCAGCTGCACCCACAATATTTATCCAGTGGGTGCAGACAATGTATTCTGCACCCACAATAATCTGAACCAAAAACCCCTTTTTCATCAACACTACTTCCCATGCAGCACGGCAAATTCAGGATATGTTGCCTACTATCCATCTTTCGAAGCATTTGCTACTGTGATCAGTGATGGTCTTCCAAACTTACATTTGTGCTGAAAAAAAGGGAAATGGAGCATGTGATTGAACACATACCGAACCGATGACCCACTGTCAAAAATGTTAGCCCGATATCTTCGAAAATGGCTAAGTTGGCCGCTTTTACTTTTTGCGGTAGTCAATATTGACAATATTAGCCCTCGAATGTGTGCAGCGTTTTCCGCAGCTTCTAATGTGTAGGGGGAGGGGGAGGGGGTCGGTCGGACCCCCTGCCGTTCGGCCCCTGATCGAGCTAGAGCTTCGTGGAAAAAACGAGGGTGTTGCCCGTGACGAGAGGAAGCCGATGATACCCAATTTTAAGGTCCTACTTCATTGGTTGACCTTCCAGGTCAGGTCAATATTCCAAAAGTCGGGAAAATCGGGACCTGCTAGAACTGCGTAAAGTGAAGCTGTTATCGGGTTGTTCGGGGTGCTGATCACGAATATCTGATGTTAGTTTTGATCACAGATGATTTCTTCATGCATTTAGGCCAGATCGGGTCAGGTCAGGTCAGGTCAACCATTAGGCGTCCTACCGGCTATCCATAGTAGGTGTCAACTACCACTGACGGCGTCGTAGCATGTCACGAAAGCACTAAAACTACTTCGTAAACTTGTTGGTAAGAAGACATTGTTTCAAGTCCACAAACGACAAAACAGTGCAATTCAAATCTTTATATCTATTTATATCTATTTTTTGTTTACTTCGTAAATGTTCAAATGGATGCTAAATTCGAAATCAGCCCTATAAACTACCCTAGAAACATGTAAAACTCGAAAAAGTGAACCGAGGTCATCAAAGGTCAATGACCTGACCTGACCTTCAGGTTATCTTCACACCCACCGTGATGCATGGGAAGAACATCATTTCACATGTTTGGACGTCTACAATCACAAAAAGACTGGAAACGCGCGGATAATGTGAGCTGACATACGCCAAATCGCGATTCCGGCCGAACATGGTCTCGAGAATCAGGTCACTGGTCAAAGGTCTTTTGGGTCAGGGTCATGAAATTTTTAGAGTAGGTGTAAAACTGATCAACTCGAGGGTACTCAAAGTTTCGTCGCGATCGGCCGCTTTTTGCGCGAGTTATTTGCGAACAACCATGGGGGGGGGGGGGGTCATCCGACCCCCCTACACATGCGAGGGTCAATGCTTCCAAATGCACTTATCGGTTGGTACCTTTTCGACATGGTACACCCTCAAAGCTCGTAACGAGCCTTCGCTCGGGTGTCGCCCCCCCCCCCCGCTTCACCGGCCATGGCTGGATTTCTGCACCCATGCACCCACAATGTTCCAGCCGTTCCTACGCCCATGGCCTCCTTCACAGTTAAGTTTTGGCTGATTGTGCTCAAATTTTGTAAGTACCTACATGTAAAGGGATGTAGATACAGTTAGTCGGGCACTCTTCTTAATTCAGTTTTGTGCACCACTTCCTGCTTTCACCATGCTGTGCCCACTCTGCTTTACAGTGGACAGCTGCTTCTGTGACACACATTAATCTTGCGTTCATTGAAACACTTAGTTTTGAGTGTTTTGACTCAGTTTTGTTGTAACGTTACCTGTGTTTATATTTTCAATAACTTGTTTTGGGCTGCTAGTTTGATTTGTTTTTGACATCAAGTAAGATTTGATTTTTGTTTCTGAGATTCCAATGTTATTTGTGGCAAATATTTTCCAAAAATCCTCCATCTAAAGCTTCAACTGAATTCTAAAATGCCTGCATTTTCTACCAGAAACATTATCATTGATACCTCCTACAATATTTCATTTTGTCACCAGGTACCTGGACTGGTGAAAAGTGAAAACTGAAATTCATTCATGTCACCATTATCCTACGACCTACCCCTAAATGGAATTGATCTTGTTTCACAAATGAGTTGTACATTGTACAATGTCTATCAGCTGATGTCTATTGTCTATCTCTCTTTCAGCACAGAAGATCCTCAGTCATAGTTAACAAAATGGAAAAAAATTAGCTGTGTTTTTAAGATTCCAGTTGTGGCCATCAACTGCTCAGGAAAGCAGCCCAGAATCACTTCACAACAGGTATGTTGATGCATGTACATCGTACATTAACATCAATGTCTGAATGCTGAAGAATTGTTGAACAGGGAACACATTTACCTAGCTTCTAAAGACCACAAATCCTACATTACTTACATAAACATTTTTCTATAGAACTTATATTATCTACTTTCATCTGGCTAAGACTTTTTTTACATTATAGGGGAGAGTGGGGAAAGATGCCCAGGGTTTTACTATGTCATATAATATACGAAAATGACGATCGGAAGCAAAAGGTTGGAGTTTTAACGGAAGCCGACATAATTTTTCTCCAAAAATATCACACTTTCGTGCCTGAAATATGATAACTTTTTTTGCTATTAAGCATTTTCCTGAAGAAGTGAAAAGGGGCATCTTACCCCACAGGGTGGGAAAGACGCCCCCTGGCGTTGGAGAAGATGCCCCCTGCACTATAAGTGACATAAATGGGCACGTGAATCGCCTGAACGAATCAGTAGTCCCTTCGAGCCTGCAGTAGACACCAAACGTCATCGTAAGGGCCCTCAAAAGTAGTCGTAAGGGGCTTCAGAGGTCATCGTTAGGGCCATCATAGTCCAGCGCGGCCAAACAAGCCTCCGTGGTGGCGTTCGGAGACCACTGTGGGGCCCTTATAGGTCTTCATGATGCTTGAGGGCCCTCGAGCCCATCGTGGGGACCTCAGATGCCAGCGCGGCCCGTGGAGCCAACGTGGGAGCCCTCAAAGGATGTCGTGAGGGGCCCTGGAGCCAATAATGGGGCCCACAGAGGCCGTCGTGAGGGTTCTCAGAGTCAGATGCCGCCGAAAAAGTCGCTGTGTGGGCCGAGAGGCCGGCATGGGGAGCACCCGACCGTACTGGACTCTCAATAGTCCCAGATCGGCTTTTGTCTCTCATCACAAGTATGTAATAAATTATTTGACGGGCTGCTTGAAGGACAGCCTACGGATTTAGGGGGGCGTCTTTCCCCATCAGGACAGGGGGCATCTTACCCCAAGGTACCGAAGCACAGGGGCGGTTCTCCCATATAGGCAAGGTAGGCAGTGCCTACGTCAATTGCCGTCTCCCCTGCGTCTAAATCATCCCTATATCGTGGCTTTTGTTTGCTTGATTGCTTTTGTTAAAAATCTTTTCTTTCTCGTTTTTCAGAATGCGTTGAAACGACAGAGAATTTCCTAAACTTTTCAAAAAACGTCACATAAAGATCGTACTATAAGAACCTTGACGAAAACCTTTGCCTAAGCTGTGCCTACCTCGTCCTACTAGATTATCGACTATTGCCATGCTGAGGCTATTGAGCCTTTTGGTAGAAAAGGTCTAGATGGTCGGCACATCGACTAGGTGCTACCTTCTAACTCTCAAACCTAACTTTTTAATACGTCCATTTATCGTAAAATAAAGCACTTTTTACTTTATCAATTTTTATCATAAGTTCAGCGTACGTAGCGTTGTTATGCTTGTTGTGTTATTCTATTGTACCTATTGTTATTCTATTCTATTGTTCTAAATTATATTGAACGAACTAGACTCCTACTGAGAGACTCGTTTGCCTCTGGCGGCAGACGTGTAAGCTCTAGTTAAGTTGATGGTTTTTGTAGATGACGCTGCTGTCGCTGCTTGACGCATCCAGACTAAGCGATAAGGCTGTCTCCCCCTCCTCCTTTTACCTATTCCGTATTGAGCTTTTCTGCCTTACCTACCAAGTGCCTACCTACTTTCAATAGGTCAGCGCCGCCCCTGCCGAAGCAACATTAAATCAGTACAATTTGTTAGCCATAAAACTACACCCTGAAACAAACTGTTTGAGACACAGTACACGCATGTTAATGTATGACGACTATAGCAAGGGACGCAAAAATTATCTACTTTCTTTGATATTGACAATGTTTTGACACCAAAATATTTTTTGAAAGCAGCAAATAAAAAACATGCAATCACCAGCCAGCCGTTGCCCAACTGAGCTTCACAAATTTGTGTGCAGTTAACAAGGCAGGCTTCCGCTTTACGCTAAGAACATTAATTTTCAGGTTCGATTCTTTGTTTCGCCGCTAGAGGGGGTGGGGCGTCTTTCCCACCCTGGGCATCTTACCCCACTCTCCCCTATTCCCTCTGTTAACCCTATTCCTGGCGGGGGGGGGCCTCAGGAGCCCCCCCCCCTGAGGTTTTTTGGTTATTTCTCCCAAACGCGTTGAGCTAGGAAGCTCAAATTTTCTGACTTTTCCTAAAAGGCTTCTACGCAACATGTCTGAAAATTTTGAGTTGATCTGACCTCAGGTCAGGTCACCAGAGGCGGTTTGGTGACCCTACCTCAGAAAAGTTTGCAATCACGCCAGAGCTAGAGTTTTTGACCGATCAATTTCTTCTCTTCAGGGTTTAGTTAGGGTACCAGTATGTGCAATTTGTATATCTCGGAATTTTGATATCGGTGACCTAAGGTCAGGTCAATTTCGCGACCTCCCCATTATAAGTCAATGGGGGAAAAATCAACTCCCTGTTTTTACCACTAAAACGGGTCGGAATGGCCCCATATACCATACATGACTTCATATACGATCAACCTTCACTACCTTGAGGTCTGTTTTGCTGTTGGGCAGCTGTGAGGTCATGTGACGTCATCAAAGGTCACCAAAGGTTTTTGGCCAATAACTCCGTACAGGAACAAGATACAGACGCGTGGATGGTCTCATTGTGTTCAGCTCGTCAAGACGCATCGAATGATATACATGATGACCTCGAGGTCACGTGACTTGAGGTCAACCTTTGACCTTGACCTTTCGAGGTCAACATATATATCATTCGATGCGGATTGACGAGAGGATCACGATGATGCCCTTAGTTTGTTCCTATCTTGACTAATTCGAAAGTTATTCGAGAAAAACTCTCTCCATATCTAGTGCCGCCATTTTGACTTTTTCGACCCCTGTGACGTCATCTTTGACCTGACCTGAAAATGACCTTAGTAAAAATTGTAGATCTTGGCCGTGCGTATCCGATGCCGTTTACCGCTTGTCGCTATCTTGCTTCGTTCTCGAGATCTCAGGGGGGGGGGGGCCAAATCGGCCCCCCCCCCCCCGCCAGTTTCTTGTCCCGGCGGAGCCCGCCAGGAATAGGGTTAAACATGAAAATATGATGAGTTATAGACTAGTATAACAAGCTGGTAATTATATCTGCCTTGTCAGCTTGGCCAACATCTGCACCATGTCTATCACAAAATATGACTGCTTTCCTGACATTTGCATTTGTTCCACTCACCAATTGACCACTTCTACCATCTGCTTGCTCTATGCACAGACATTTTCATAGGGTCTGTTCCAGTCGCACTTCCTAACACCTCTTAACTCCTCCAAGATTGCTTCCCTGTTCCAGTGGCAGCTTTCGCCCCTACAAAGCCAAGAAGGGCCCTGCTCCAACCTCCTCTATCTTGCTCTTTGAGGAGTTTAGATGTGTTAGGAAGTGCGACTGGAACAGACCCATAGCAAAACAGTTTCATCTCCCTGAGTCTGTACTGTCTTTTTCCAGGTTTCCAAAGGATCATCATTCATCAGCACAGAAGGGTGGGAAAGAGAAGGCTCAAGGCTGTTCAAATTCTGAAAAGCCAGAGCTGCAAAGGAGGTCAAAGATGCAGTGCAGTTGGCCCACTCAGTAGAGTTTCACTAGTGGTTCTGATGTGGACTGAAGATTACACGCTGGATTGAAGTGGCCGGTCTGGAGCAGCTGTAGTTCATCATTCTTGCTGATTGTGGACGAGTAAGAGCCCGTGTTGGCCCCGATCGGCGATCGCTGGCCAAAGCCCACCACCAGTTTGGTTATAGGCGTTGGCTGTGATATCTAGTGTCGCCTATGTGTGAAAAGGACAAGTTGATAACAAAACCTGTTGCGCCATGTTATTAACCCGCGCCCGGGTGGCCCTCAGCCAACTTGGGGGGGGGGGGGGGAGGTGTATTCGGCCACACCAGGTTATCTTGGAATGTAGCAAAGCTGGAAAGACGCAGTAAAATCAATCTATAGACCGCTATTTTTCTTCAGAATCATACAGGTCATTTTTGATCAGGTCATCGCTGAGGTCACTGGAGGTCACCAAAAGTAAAATGATGACGAATTTTGGCCCCCGATTTTGACAACTTCACAAATTGGTTCATAATTCGAGAACCAAAGAAGCTACAGCGCCGCGGAAAAGCGAATTCGATAGCTCTTTCGAAAATCTTTCAGGTTCTCAGATTTGAGCTAAGGTCAACTAGGGTTAAGCCTCCAAAGGGCAAAAACTGAACAATCGGCTTGCTTCGGAAGTCGTCTTTTCTTTAAATTTTTTTAAACTGATACCAACCTTTTATTACGTTGATTTTACCGGCACTGCGTTTCTCTCGTCTTCTTGGCCTAACAAGGTCAGCTTAATAAATTTGACCTCAGGTCAATGTCGCAGAAAATGCCATTTTGCATGTCATTGATGATTCGTTACATTGAAATTGAGATTAACATCAGTAGCGGCGGAACACCTTCAATTAAGGGGGCATTGCCGACTTTTGGTCTCATTCTTTCCATGCAACGGCCATAGGGCTAATGTTAAAATGCCAAAATCAAAGGGGGCACGGTGCCTCGGTGCCCTCGGCCTGTTCCGCCGCCTATGATTATGATGCTTTTAGCGCTCTGGCCACATTCCATCTAAAATCGATGTACAAAAATAAACTGTTGGGAGGCGTTACATGACCTGAGATGACCTCAAGAGCATACGATAGATCCCGATGTTTGAGTGCTTTTGTTTCAAAAGCAGAACATTTCGATTTCGAGTTCCTCATACTGACTGAAACTGGAGACGTCGCAAAGTTGACCTGACCCTAGGTCACCACCGATATCAAAATTAAAGATATTCAAGATGTTGGTACTGATTCTCTCATGCAATAGCTCGAGTTTCAAACTTCTACTTCATGGTGACCTGACCTGACCTTAGGTGACATGGGGTTACTTTTTTTCACAATTGATGCGAATCGATGCATTATACATAAGCTATACTAAGTTTCGTGTCGTTTTATCTATGCAAGCACAAAATTGTCAGGTGTGGCCAAAAACGCCCCGACGGCCCACCCACCTGGGGAACGTTAAAGCAGTGATGTATTTTTTTCGGTGTATTCCACGATGCATCGATCGGTGTACTTGATAATGCATTATTTATTGCTGCGTGTGTACGCTTTTCCTCTGTTCAGTGTGATCTGTGATAGGAAAACTACCGATATATCTCCACGCGCATGACTGAAAGAGCTGGCGTGATCTATAATATTGGGTGTCTGTTTTTGTTTGGCATTTTATAAATAATGAGTCAGCTGTGATCGTTTGATGAGACACTGGGACAGCCGGCCTGTATGATCAGCGAACGGCAGGCGGCGGGGCAGTGGTCCGGTGGCTGCTGCATGGGACTGACACCAGCAGATTCAGAGCTGCGATACGCGGACGTTATGTTCACAATACCTTTGCAAAGTAATATCTGATAGATATCATGTCCTCGAAAATGTTCTTCAATCAATATGATTTTACCTCCTGGCTTATTCCATGGGGGCCGAAACCGATCGTTTTATGCACGCCTTTTCTGGGCCTCGTTCTCCTCTAAATGCGTGTAGGTAGCAATTGTATTCAAGGGACGATTGAAAGTGCCTCCGATTGGTTTTCAGCGTAGGTGGGATATGGCCGTTGAATGTGAGGCAGTCGATAAGGAATGTCGAGCTGGAACGGTCATTGGGTAGGTACTAGGTAAGGTATGTGAAAGGCAGCAGTGGAAAACAAGGAAGGGAGGCGTTTGGTGTGAGGTTTCAAATGCTCTATGCATAAGAAAAGTTCATTTGATCATATGACACCGTCCTTTTTATCGCGATACGTGAGCAACGCATGAGACGCTCACTGTTCAGACTTGTAGCGTTAGAGACAGGCTGAGAAGGGCTATTTCCGCGAAAGGATATTCTGGAATTTGAATTGAAAAGCATTTAGTTTTGAAAGCATCAGTACTTCTTAACACGATACTGACTCATTTAAAATTTCAATTTTTCCCCATTGCGAAAGCATAAGAAACAGAGACTGCGGTGTCCCCGTACGCAGGATTCTGGAGACTGTCAGGCGGATGTTAGTAGCTAAAAGCTTTTGTTCTTTATTTAACAGATAACAATCATTTCTTTTAATACTTTGTAACACCTAACTCACTAGAAACAATCTCTACGGGCTTCCAAAAGTGTTATATTTAACATGTTAGATCAATTACAATATTTTAGCTGCCCTAACCTGTAAATGTAACGGATGCGTCATTATTGAAAACGTGCTAAAGCATAGTATTCTATTGCTGACAAATATTCTGCGTCTGTCAGCCAAAACTGGCCAATCAGAGGCTTTGTTTGTCATTTCTGGGTGGGATTAATAAACATGCCAGCGTGCCATGGGCTATCTGTAAACTCAAGGCCGTGTAAACCATTATTTTGAGCGGTCATTGCTCGAAATTGAGGGCCTGTTCCAGCGCCTCCAGAAACCTCCAGAAAGCTCCAGAAAGCTCTAGAATCCTCCAGAGAGCGTTCCAGCGCCTCCAGAAAGCTCCAGAAAGCTCTCGCCGAAGCTCCAGAAACCTCCAGTAGCCTCCAGAGAGTTGAGAGGTCCAAATTTCTCTGGAGGCTCTGGTCTACAATTATGGCGCACATGTGACAATCACGAATGTAAACAAAGGACTTTTGACTGACTATTTTACAACTTGAATGTAAAGAAAATTACATTGCTATAATTTTGTTAATCTTTCTTAATAAAATTGAAAAGAAATTTTGCGTTTCAAGAGAGAACAATCGCCATTCTTTTGGTATCTGTGATGCCAATCTCCAGAAATCTCCAGATTGCGTTCCAGCGCCTCCAGTGAAACCTCTGGTAGAGCCTCCAGTCAAGAATTTCTACTGGAGGCGCTGGAACAGGCCCTGAATCTGAATACGTATACGACGCTAACTTGATGGACATGTGGTCCTCTTATTTTTCCCCAAACCTTGGTAATTTTGATTTGGCATTTTGACTGGAGCTGGAGAGTGAGGGTGTCGTGAAAAATTGATCAGCGGTGACTGCTGTGGTGTTGGTGTGTTGTGGTTCAGGTTCCTTATTATGAACTTGATCATAGACTTGTTGTGAACGTTGACCCTGTATTCATTGTGTTTTTATTGTTGAAACAGCACAAGCTTGGAGGCTTGTGCGACGCGCCTGGCGATCGAGGACCAAAGTTGAAGTGAGAGGTGTTTTTGAAAGTCTCGAAGCTAATGTGAGCGGTGACGGACATCTTTTAAAGAATTTCCAAAGATCAGAGTCCGGTGATACACGTTTGTGCGTCAGCTCCCTTGTGTGCCATAGAACAACAAGAATAAGGATGTCTGGAATCCAGCAAGTCTGCAGATTGCTGTCCAGGCAGAGCATGACCAAAATCGCCTTCACAGGAAAGGTCAGTGCCTATTGGAGCATTCAGCCAGCGAGTGCTGTGTTCAGGTGCTCAGCAACCGCATGTTATTTTTCAGTGATCTTTGAGTGAAGGTAGATTGTGCCCAGCACTGCAAATATGACAGCAGCATTGTTCCTACGTCATTGGGTTGTAGGCAGAGTGAAGCTGTGAAGAGTGAAGTCCAAGTAGATAAAACATTCTAACCTGGGCCCTGTTCATGTGGCTGCAGCTGCCACAGCTCCTGCGGTAAAAAAGGTGGGACTTAGCTAAGCGGTCAATCATGCGACACATAGATGGCAGTCCCCGCTGTTCTGATTGCCTGCTTAGCTAGGCCCAGCCTTTTTTACTGCGGGAGATCTGGCAGCCACATACACTTGAACAGGGCTCGGTATTTATATACATAAGGTCCGATCAACAAGACGATTATAAAAACCACACCACTCGATGTATTTTGAGCTCCTGATTCCATATCTGATAGTTATTTATGGCGCAACCAAGTTTTAAAGCAACTGCGCAATATTTACCGTCGCCGCAGGTCACCATCCCACGACACCCACCGTCAACGCACTCCATCAGCCGTTTGCGCCACGTGAGATGGATCGAATGAATAAACTCCAAGGTTGAGTGAAAACATTACGCCTTTCAATCTCATTATGAAAGTGACGTCATGAAAATGATCGTGGCGAAGCGGTGCAGTGCCGAAGGCAATGCCTTAGGAGAGATTACAGGCAATGGTGAGTCAAATATTTTTAGGTTAAGTGGTTGTGTATCTGGCCTCAGGCCGAAGGCCTGAGGCCTGATGCACAACCACTTAACCTAAAAATATTTGACTTACCATTGCTTGCAATCTATTCATGCGAGCAACTGTTTCCTTATCCCCGGGTAGGCAAAAATCAGTAGGTCAGGTTAGGTCAGGTTAGATTAGGTTCTGACAATTTTTGCCGTGTTTTTTTTCCTATCCTACCCAACAAAACTCCAATTTTTTAAACATTTTTTCGTGTTTTGTTATTTTGACGTCACTTTCATCAAACAATTTGAATAGAGAAGAAGTAATGCTTTTTACATTCAAATTGCTTTTTCATGATTTTTTATTTATTTTTTATGTTCAAATAATATAATTATGATATCTTTTCTATCAAATATGCCTAATAGCTATGACCTTACGTAAACTTCTTTCCATTCGTACCTGTAATCTAGAGCAGAAACTTCCGTTTCCGTTTGAGCAAACTGGTTTGAACCAGTTTTAGCAGGTGCTTTCCAGTGCTTTCCGATTTCCCGCCAGTCTGTTAGTTGGATCATGGCTTCCGTGCCGGGTGGTTCGTTGTGCTCCGGGTGCAAGTGGGAGGAATACGAACTAGTTTCAGTTGCGTACCGCAACGAGGAACGCCAACGCGTCCAGCGTATTTTTCGAAACCACGGTGAACTAGATTAGAGGTAAGTAAATTTTATCTCTCCGATCCACTTTTCAAGCATAAATTTTGCATATTCTTACGTTATTTGACATCCTGAATGTAGATAAGATGCTTACATGCGACGTAAAACAGTTTTACCATATTAAAAATATTTGTTACCGTATTTGGGGAAATGTTGGGAACCGGGGTTTTTGGGTCGGGGAGGGAATACAATGCCGTAAGAATGGTCATGAAAGTTGGGGAAAACTGTTGGGAACCGGGGTTTCTCTCCATACCCATAAACCCCGATCCCCCCTCCCCCACCCAAAAACCCCGGTTCCCAACAGTTTCCCCCAACTTTCATAACCATTCTTACGGCATTGTATTTCCTCCCCCACCCAAAAACCCCGGTTCCCAACATTTCCCCAAATATGGTAGCAAATATTTTTAATATGGTAGCACTGTTTTCCGCCGCATGTAAGCATCATATCTACATTCAGGATGTCAAATAACGTAAGAATATGCAAAATTTATGCTTGAAATATGGATCGGACTTTATGTAAATATTTACCCAGGGCTCTGACCTAACCATAGCTACAACCTACCAACTTACCAACGATACCTCCTCTACTCCTATACCCAACCTACCAAACTACAACCTACCAACCTACATACCTACCACTTGGACTTAATTTGGTTTGACTGGAACCATTAGTATAATTGCTTTGATTTAGAAGTCTTTTGCATACAAATACTTGAACCATATTAAATTGATCTTAAAGCCACTGTTTAATGCTTTGAACCTGCTTTTCTTCTCAATAAATAGGAACGTAACACCCATCTATTTGGTATTTTAATTCCAGGACAAGTGCTTTAGTACAAAGAGTACCTACTGCTCCATAACTTTTACACTTTAAAGCTACAAGAACAACTTTGTCACTTCAACATTCTTCATTACATGGTGTCATTAACTGATTTGTAAAATGACTGACAAAGAACTACAATGAGGATAAATTTGACAACAAACAATTTTACCCATAACCCATGGGCACCCCATAACTGGTGCTATGCTGTGTCTGAACTGATGTACGATGTCTGGACTGGTGTACCTACCATGTCTGGACTGACATACTGTTTCTGGGCTGGTGTAGGTAGGAACTGTGTCTGCTCTGGTGTACCATGTCTGGAGTGGTATACATTGTCTGGATTGGTGTACCATGTCTGTACTGGTCATGGTGTACCATGTCTGGACTGGTTTACCATGTCTGGAATGGTGTACCATGTCTGGAATGGTGTACCATGTCTAGAGTGGTATACATTGTCTGGATTGGTGTACTATGTCTGGACTGGTGTACCATGTCTGGAGTGGTATACAGTGTCTGGACTGGTGTACCATGTCTGCTCTGGTGTACCATGTCTGGACTGGTGTGCTGTGTCTGGATTGGTGTAGGTACAGTGTTTGATCTGGTTTACCGTGTCTGGGCCAGTGTACAGTGTTTGGACTCGTGTCTCGTGCTTAGCGCCTGGTGTACAGTGTTTGGACTCGTCTCTGGTGTACCATGTAACTATGCTCTGGTGTGCCGTGTCTGGACCGGTGTCTTATGTCTGGACTGGTGTGCCGTGTCTGGGCCGGTGTCTTATGTCTGGACTGGTGTGCCGTGTCTGGACCGGTGTCTTATGTCTGGACTGGTGTGCCGTGTCTGGACCGGACTGCCGGGGTTCGGGGACGGACCGGCGGCGGTCGCCAGCCGGCCGGTTTTCAAGGAAACCGCCCGCAGTACGGGCCTGTTGCATCAGGCAAACCAACACCAATACCGGCCGGCCCGTTACCGCGAGTCGCGGCTCGGCCGAGCGGAGAGAGCAGCCGGCAGGGGGGCGGGGAGGGGAGGGGCATGGCGAGGGGACTGGGAGGGGTGGTGGTGCGGACCGAACATGTAGGGACAGGTCGTGTCGTGTTGGATAGTCCTGGAGGTACGGGCGGCGGGACTCAGACACCCGTACCGACACCGGAGCGGGCTGCGGGGCCGTGTGTGCTGAGCTGTGTGATGTGCTGCGGGGCCGTGTGATGTGCTGCGGGACGTGTGCTGATGAGCTGTGTGATGCGCTGCGGGCCTTGTGATGTGCTGCGGGGCCCTGTGCTGCTGAGCTATGTGATGCGCCGTGGGCCCTGTGGTATGACGTGTCATGTGCTGTGGAGCTGTGTGATGTGATGTGAGAGCTGTGTGATCGGTGATGTGATATGAGCCGTGCGTAGTTTGTGTTATGGTGTGCCCCCGACTGGCCGGTCTGACCGAGGGGTGCAGTGCTCGTCTGGCCACTTAGCACGTGTTGCGCCGCACATCATGGTCCTTCTGAGACTCCTAACGGATGACAAACGACCCACTATATTCTGCAGTTAATGGGCTCTAAAAGTAGCCTACGGCTAAGGGGAGCACGGAGGCGAGGTAATCAACATATCAAATTATACTGGTCCGCAACTCTGACTCTGAGTAAACGCCTGCTCATTATGTCATACATCATATGCCAAGCTCAGCTTTGTCCCAATTTCTGCCCGGGGACGCGGAATGAGGCTGCCACAAAGCTCGCTAGTTGCCCGTAAGCCCATCATCTGAGCCCATATCAACGTGTGCCATGCCTAGTGCCTACTCATCTTGGTCACGGTTTTCACATGATGCGTGATGGCTTTCGGCATCAGCTGACACCTACTTGTGCGCAGACATGGCGCTTGTCATGCATTTGCGCCCCCCGCATTTGCGCCAGCCGCTCCTCCTGCAGTGCGCCACCAGCTGCTTCGCCATATAGCGCTACCTTATTTGCACCAGCCGCTCATTCATACAGCGCCAGCAGCTGCTCCTCCATACAGCTGCTCCTCCATACAGCTGCTCCCCCATACAGCTGCTCCCCCATACAGCTGCTCCTCCATACAGCTGCTCCTCCATACAGCTGCTCCCCCATATAGCTGCTCCTCCATACAGCTGCTCCTCCATACAGCGCCACCAGCTACTCCTCCATACAGCTGCTCTTCCATACAGCACCAGCAGCTGCTCCTCCATACAGCTGCTCCTCCACACAGCGCCACGAGCTGCTCCTCCATACAGCTCCTCCTCCATACAGCTGCTCCTCCATACAGCTGCTCCTCCATACGGCTGCTCCCCCATACAGCTGCTCTTGCATACAGCTGCTCTTGCATACAGCTGCTCCTCCATACAGCTGCTCCTCCATACAGCGCCACCAGCTACTCCTCCATACAGCTGCTCTTCCATACAGCGCCAGCAGCTGCTCTTCCATACAGCGCCAGCAGCTGCTCCTCCATACAGCCGCTCCTCCATACAGCGCCAGCAGCTGCTCCTCCATACAGCGCCACCAGCTACTCCTCCATACAGCTGCTCTTCCATACAGCGCCAGCAATCGCTCATCCATACAGCGCCAGCAGCTGCTCCTCCATACAGCGCCAGCAGCTGCTCCTCCATACAGTTCGCCGCCGCCGCCATGCTGGCCAGGTGTCTGCGGCCGGCCTGTTTTGCCGGCCGCCGCTGCGGTCCGGCCGGTCCAATATCGCGGCCCGACCGGCCGTGACGGGACTCCGAACGATGCCGACGCCGGTCGTCGGCC